GCATTGGGATGCTGCTGGATGCTTCGAGATGCTACCGACGCATCTCGGCCCTTGTTCAGCCCGCGTATGCATCTCACGTGTTATCGCGGACTGTGCTTTACCCTATATTATATATTATGACGAAATTTTTATATATCACGTGGCGTTCTTCGGGCACGCAATTACCGCGTTATAGAACAGACAGTACTTATAAATGCAACCCCCTCCCCCCCCAAGTGAAATTCTCAGAAAATCTTTTACTCAGACACTTGTTTTTAAGCAACTACAATGATGGACTTGGTCTCTTTATCAACAGCATCTCAGTCAATCTCGAGCAGATGAAGCTGACAATGACACGTCTTCAGAAGGACAGTGCTGTCTGTCACCTGCATATTTTCATATCTAAACTCAAAGTCGTCAAACAAGCGAGGGCAAAAAAATCTGCACAAGACGCAATTGTTAAACTTGTACTAGACGGCAGTGTGACAGACTGCGCAGAGAATGTTATCTCGTCAATCGGTCGGTTGTTTTTGTGCCCACATTGTCTCAGTGAAATGGAGAAGGATTTAATTCTCAAGAGCTGTTGTTATAAGGATAGGCTGAACATGTTGATCGTCTGGTGAATAACACGCGGGCATGTTTCGGTCTTGTGAAAGCACTGCAGTACGTAAAACAGGCTAGGCATGTGGGATATTCCAACATGTTCATTCTAATTTGTTTTCATGTGTTAATAAATTAATCTATAATTGTACTTCAGATGCATTACAAACGCTGTACAAAACACTATCTTATAATTCATATAATAACGTACAATACAACTAAAATACTGTAATTATTTAATGTTATGTATTCCTTGAAAACGATTTCAGCATCATCAACATTTGCCACATTAATTAAGTGATTTACTTTAACCAGGCTGTATAACAAAATTGTAATTGAATAATTACACCACCTAAACAAATATGAGGAAAAAGACTGGCATGTGATATACACCGATACACCCAAACAAAGTGGGACAAAGTCAGCCAAAGAGCTCGGCAGCAGAACAGTCAACTGACAACCAGACGGTTTTCATGAGTTTGAATCCCATTCCAGGGTTTATTCAGGGCATCATTTATCTGGGGTCAATAAAGTATGGACTGGAAAGTAGCAGCGGTTGTCCTGTCCAGAGGCTTGCACCGCACCATAGGGATGTTGCAATTTCCACCCCTATCTCAGGGTCACCAATGGAGATGAGCACCGACCCACGCTTCTTTGAGCCGGGAGAAACTCTTGACTTAAAAGTGGCACGGACAGGGTGCCAATGTGTATGTGTTGTGTGTGTAAACTTGGAAGTAGACTTCTCTCTTGAAGGCAACGCGTTTCTTTGATATAAACGATAACAATAGCTGTAACACTAAGGGTTATTGCCCCTGTAACACTACGTGGCACGGCCCCGTCACCCGATAACCTAAGGGAGGTTGTGCCTCCCTTCTAGCGGGCCCTACAGACTCCGGGCTACGCTTTCACGGTGGGTGGGTTACCCCAGGTTAACCAGTGCACCTCCCGCTCACTCTTCTGTCCGCCCCCTATCGGCCTGTGAGCGTGGTGACAGTGATACGACATACAGCGCCTTGGTATGGCGCAACATATGTACAACACAGGGTCCCTTTGTGTGAGTCTTGTATGCCGCCAGACAGCCCGGGGGCTCTGGGAAAGATTTGGCACCGAGCCCAAGTCCCCTCCCTTGTTTTCTTACTCCTCTTCTTCATCCTTTTGCCAGTGAGCTTCAAGCGGCGAAACTCTCGCCTAAGTGAAACAATATGGGGGGGAGGAGGGGGGCATTAGCGATGAAGCTGGACAGTGGAAGGGGGACAACTGCACTGCACGCATGCACAACACATCCCGCAGACCACACTTTCACCTTGTACCCATATACAGTGCTGTAGATGCAGGCCACTCGACACTATTGTGGTTTAATACGAGTAAACCGTTTTTCTCCCAAGGGCTGGGTAAGCAGATCACAGCTTTTTGAATAACAACCTGCAGAGAGCACGGGCTGGAAATGCTGTGACCGCCATTGCTCATTAACAATCACTGCCATGCCACTGATTGTAGTAAAACTATGAGATGTTAACGACAGTTAATACGTGAATTAAGTGGTGGACCAGTGGATTAGCACATTGTGCTATGAGCCCAGCCCCTTGAGTTCTATGCTAAGCCATGGCCAACATCAGTGGAAGATTATATCTGAACAGCTTCCAGAACTCTCCTTGACAAACCCATATTGACCAGCACTGTGACGTATGGCTAACTTAGCCCTTTGTGACCGACATGGTGTTGTCTGAACCCTGGAAAGTTCTTGAAGGCTGATTGGGATCAACATTATTAAATAAAATAGGATAAGTACTGGATGGAGTGCCTTTTTCAAGTTAAAAATGGGAATGAAAAAGCAGCACACTGGCGTTTGAAGGCTAAAGTGTAAATATATTGCATAGCACCAGCTGTGACATGGATACAAAAAAAACACACGGACACTGTAACTTTTGTTCTATATTATTTGTCAAAGTAAACAAGGATGCATTGAGACGTTTATGCTTATAAATCCACTGGGAGAAAGAAAAAGGTGCACACAAATCAATATACAAAGTACTTGGGCACTGATATTACCTGTGACCAGAAATCAAACTTAGTTTGGTGGGTTTATTGCGTAGGGTGCAAACCACTCCCGGTGTGATGCCTCCAAAATAAATCATGCTCTGTTTTTTTTTTACTGTGGCTTAACAATAACAAGAAATAAACAAGATAAACTAACCAAACACGAAAAGTAAGTAATGACACTTTCAGTTCTGAAACATGTACATTGTAGGTGTCACAGGTCATGCAGTCTAATATACTGTACATAAATCTAAATTTAAAAGGTTAAATAATGTCTGAACTTTAAACGTTGAATCTCAACTATCAACAGGCACACCTTTTAAATGTATTTTATGCACGACATACCATCGCTATACATATGACACCTATATGGGAACTTTTTATAGAAAGAGAGCACAAAGGGGCCTGTCATCCTTTAACTCTGTCACAAACAATCTTGAGAGCACTGGTTCTTAACGTTTACTGCAGCCTTGTACCCATTTGGCTCTCAACAATGTATTTTAATAAATACATAGGTTTTATGAAACAAAGTAGTTGTACTTATGTGGCCGTGCTTAATTTGTGTTTCGATGATTTACCTTCTAAAAAGATCTGGCCATGTCTCGCACCCTCTGAAAGGGCATCTCGCACCCCCAGGGGGTGCGTGCACCCCAGGTTAAGAACCACTGCTTTAGAGTGGGACCCAGTATCTTTTCATGAACCACATGCTTGGCATTCTGTCTCATTACCATGTCAGGAGGAGTTTAATTTGTAAGTCCCGTGGATAAAGCCTACTAATTTTAAACGGAAGAAACATTATCTTTCTGTCTGGGCTCTGACAGCCCTGCGTGCTGATCTGACCCGAGCAGCCATGACGTGTCGGGCACCAAGGACCCGGTGTGGCTTTGGGTTGTATCATCCAGCACTTGGTAACGTGCGCACTGATACGATAGGCATGCAAACGTCCATAAGTGGCATCCGAGGCTCACACAAAGGGACCTGTGTTGTACACACGCGTGGCATCCTCGCCGTGCCACTTTAAAGTCAGTGTTTCCCTGCTCAAAGAAGTGTGGGGCGGTGTTCGTCTCCATTGGTGACCCTGAGATAGGGGTGGAAATTGTACATTCCTGTGGTGTGGTGCGAGCCTCCTTATAGGACAACCGCTGCTACTTTCCAGAAAAATAGCAATTCATATGTTATTGACCCCAGAGAAATTATGCCCCAAATAAACCCTGGAATGGCATTCAAACTCATAACCGTATAATTAGTTGACTGTTGTGCTGCTGCGGTCTTTGATTGAATTTGTCCCACATTGTTTTGGTGTATATCACGTATTGTTTTGTTTTCGAGGTCGCGCTTCCTTTACTGACCACCTTCCACGACGCCGACATCTTAACGGCATGGTGTGAGGCTTAACAAATCTCCCCTACCTGAAATCGACAGTCACCAAAGACCCTTTTTTGCATTTTATGAAGATGTTGTCAGGCAGAATGTCACTGACAACTGCGTTTAGCTGCTACTCATTCACCTGAAGCAGCTTAACGTCACACGGGTTTTTTTCTCGCGAATACTTATCTAGGTTTCACCGAGAGAAATAGAAGACAGCATGTTCACGCTTGCCCACTAAAGTCACAATTGTGACCGTCCGCGTAAGTGGTACGCTCTGTGACGGTGTCATTCTCCGGCATTCTACATTCCTTGATGGGTAGAATCTGCACAATATCAGAATGCTTGCTAGGATGGGTATAACACTAAATGCGACCAATTAACAACAAGTTATCAAGAGCCAATCTTGGTAAAATGACACAACATTAATTTGTTAAAATGCAGTGTTGGAATTGTATATCATTGTGTCTAATTGTCTACACAATGTAATATCTTTCATAGACAGGTAAATGACTCATTCCTTCATCCTGTATGTGCATGCACAGCAGCTATAAGTGTAGTGACTGGGAATCTCACTGTGTTTTGCCGGGCCTGCGAGGCCACGGCGGGATTTATACTGTTGTGTGTACACCCCGGACACGGTGTGTAGTACCAGCCTTAGTGGGGGCTTGGGCGAACGCTGGTTCAGCGCTGGTTCAGCGCGGTGGCAGCATGCACAGCGTGCGGTGCGGGCTCCGGTTGAGAGAGCGAGAGAGTGTCAGCCAGCTAGGGTTACGTTGGGGGCATGATACTCTGGCTGACCTGGGGACATGTGACCGCGTGATACTGAAGGGGGGACCACCGGTGGAGGGGGCCAATGGGTGGTCACATGGTCTGAGAAGAACTCTCGAGAGCCTTCAGGCAAGGGCGAGAGAGATCGAGAAGGTGGGCGGGGCGAGAGGCGGAGCCAGCCCCAGCCCGGCCCGATATAAGGGGGGCCCTGAGAGGGGCTCGGGGTTCTTACTGTTGGAGAGGCAGGAGATCCACGTCAAGCTTGAAGAAGCCTCCAGCCACGCGGTCCGGGACCCAGCTTGTGGTCTGGACCGGGATAGTAGAACCGTGTCTAGTTCCGCTGTAGCGTGGTTAGTTGGGTGGTCACCACCCGAGACTATGTTGTGTTAATATCCTGGGGTATGTTGTGCTAAGAATTTAATAAAAGTGTTGCTCCCAAGACAACGTCTGCCACTCAGTTGGACTCACTAAATAAACATAACACATCCGTAGCCAGATGTGGTTGCTGTGTCTGACAAAAAAAGACTGACTGTGTGTGGGCTTTAATTGCCTCGTTCCCCAGGAAATCTCAAAGCAGGAAAACAAAACCGATGAAGTCCCAGGTATGTGGCCGGGAGTGAAAGGGATGTTGACATTCTCCCATTTCTATACATGGGACACAGTGCATTTGCAATGAGGGACACTGTTCCTCAAACACACCCTGAATTGTAAACAAATCATAAAATGCACCTGGCAAGTGTGGTGGGCTATCGCCTGTAGATATGGTAGCTCACTGCAGTGTTAACAAATGAACACGCACGTTTTGGGCAAAGTCTAATTATGATGTGAGCAATGGGTGTCCATGAAGAAGCCATAAAAATCACTCAATTTACTGAAATCGAATGTTCCCTGTCCGTATTCAAGTAGTAACTTGCCATTTTCCAAAAACGGAATCTTTTTTCTCGTAACGGCCCCAACTGGTGTCATCGTTTATTTGCCGCCGTCTTCACAGACGGCACCTCCCTCCACTTCTCTCTGCCCTCCGCCGGTCTCGCCTTCGTTTCCGTAATCTGTCCATCGACTTCTTGCTCTACTATCTCCGGATCTCTGAAGAGGTGTTCATCCTTGTGTTATGGCCTCTTTTTTTAGACAACTGACAGGTTTCGTGGATGAGGTGTCCATGATTTGGACACCTATATTTTCGTGTATGTACGTTGAATTACTTTCACACCATATGCAGCCAACCGTGCTAATCGGAGGTATTGGAAACACTCACTGTTCTGTCAATGATCTAGTATCTGTCTATAACTCCACATCTTAAATGCTTTGATCTATTGTTGCTCATTTTACTTGTGATATATATGTAGATGTATGTATATGCCTGTCATCTGTCCTCCGTGTACCCTTGGCCACTCCGTGCACTCTTATCCTTTGTCTCTCTCATTCCTACAACCCCGATCTGTAATGCATTTTAAGACATTCTGGAAATATGCCTAGATTCAGTGGCTCACAGCCAATGCTCTATGGCCCCGAGAGAGATTCCTATTAAATCTTTCTCAAAAACCATGGTTGATGTGCCCTGGCTAAATTGGGCTGCCCGAACATCTTTCAACACTTATTGTGTCATCCGTATCGGACAGAGATTAACAGTGCATGGGATTTAAAATAAGACTGTACAGTGGAACCTTTTTCGCAGTTAATAGTTGTGCATATACTGTTATGATGTTACCCATTCTATATTAGGGGAACCCACTGCAGACAGTCTGAAGTTATGGAATACAGTACCGTTATAACATTTTTAAGTGCATGTAAAGTAGTTATAAATAATCTACAGTATCCATAATTCACGCGATGGGTTGTTTTAAACTGTAGTGACAGGGTATTTAAACAAAAAAAAACCCATAATTAGCTGCCTTTAAGGGGGGTAAACCTTGTTCTGCATGGTTACGGTAATATGAGAACACTGTAGTGAAAAACTTTGACAATAGCTAATAAATCTAACGAACACGTACAAAGAAATTGCTGAGGGCACACAGCATGCCCAAGCGTGTAATATTGCCATTCACATTGACAATGTAACCACATTAAAGGTTGATTGATATGGATGTTATTTTCTAAATTTCAATCCTTCATGTTAGAAAAAAAGAAAAATTACTTGAGAGCTTATTTAATAATTTGCAGTCCTTTAGCGTATAACATTATGTCTATTTTATGTACGTGTAGTGTACCGAACGAGCAAGCGGAGCGAGCAGACACGCAAGCGGGAAAATCACGACGGATTTACGGGGTGTCGAACGCGAGGAGTTCTGTTCAATAAAAAGTGACACCGGAGAAAAAGAAGTTGTCTGCGTGAAATAAAAACACTACATATGCATTAATCATAACGCATTGGCATGTGCATGCTAAAATGAGCGTATTGTGAGCATGGGAATCACCTTTACTTAATTGTCGCCGTGTCACATGCCTATGAAACAGCATACAGTTAAATTAATATTGTTGGTGGAAATGTCGAAATCACCACTATTTTCTGAGAATGTATCTGTTTTCTCACACACTGAAAGAGAAAAAAAACTTTCACCAGGTCCTTGGAATTATACATTAACGAAATAACATATCACCGCACCTCCGATTAGCACGGTTGGCCACGTATGGTGCGAAAGAAGTTCAACATACATACGTGTTCGTGTTGCAATAGGATGGCATTTTAAAGTTGACTGCTTCACCAAACTAGACCTACAGTGGGCAGATTTATGCAAAACATTTGCCAGGAAAACAACTCATGCATATGCAGTTGTAGTGTTTGTACATCTGTAGGACTTGAAATATCACGCGCCAGGCGTTCTGTTGCTAGGCAAGCGAGCAGAGTACAGTGGGAGCATCTGAGGACACGGTTGTTGTTGTCGTGGCATTAAGGGGGGGGGGGTCGTTAAGAGACGCAACAGGTGTTAGGGGTGACTGAGGACGCAGGCCGGTGATTGGTCAGGAGGGTGAGTGGTTAATGACTGGCGCCGGCCTGGCGGCAATAACATGGTCACGTGAGGCTGGGGGCCTGGGGGCGAGTAGCAAAGCGGGGGATGAGATAATTGATTGGGACTGCTTGGTGCGGGGATAAAGGGCACAGCGTAACGGAGAGACGGGAGTCTTGGTTGGGATTGGAGCTGGAGTGGTTGGTGCCCGGGACAGAGACGGAGCAGCAGTGAGCAGGAATAGATACGATAAGGATAGAGAGAACACAGTGTACGGTAGCAGTGAGAGTGAGCGAGCGAAGTCGCGGAGCGGAGCGAGCGAACGGGGAGACATGGAGTGTTGTTAATGGCGGGTTGTGCATCGGAGCGAACAGAGAGACACGGAGCGATGGTGTGGAGGAAGTGTGAACTCTACGCGTGAATAAACGAGACAAGAAAGACAACGAGAGTACGAGTCCTACACATCTATCGATCGATATATATAAAAGTCAAATATTGTCTGTGGGTTTGTTTGTGGGTTTGTGTGTTCGCGCGCTTGCGAACGATTTGCCTCTCCAACGGTGGGGTTTAGGTAAAAATTAATAGCCAGGTACCAAGCCGTAAGCCTCGCAGTGAGCAAGCGCTATTCCTTCTTCACATCCGTCAACTTTAAATTGAATACCTAGTGTGGTATGTGAAGATCACCACTGAGGAGAAAAAGATGGCCAGGCATGGTGTTGGCCACCCACCCCCTCGTGTGCCATGCTGGCCTTCATAGGTGCTTGCTAACAGCACTTGCCCCTACAGTCTGTTCAGGCTCCCACGGAGGATGTTTGGTCTTTGCCACCACCAACCACGTTATTTTCCTGCTAGGATATCCTTATATTGCTCAATTATAAGTAGGAAATAAGTAAACACTGCTAAACATAGATCTTTATTTACATTCACATTTGGTGCAACTGCGTGCAATTCAGAGCAATTACCGCTCTGGATAATTGCTCAATTTAAGAGGTCAAAGGAACCATGGTCATTAAAAACTAACTCTGGATATGGGCACAAGATGTATGTAAATATGAACATCTTGTGCTCACACATGAGTGACAACAGCAAAGCATGGAGGCAGGATATTCCCAGCCACCCTGCTAAAAAGAGTAATGTCCATTCTATTATGATATACTGATATTTTTATTCTCAGAGCTGAAATTTTGTCAAATGAAGTGGCAAATACATACCTGTCAACCCATACAGTTTACCCGTATTCTTGTACAGGGAAATTGAGTTTTCAGATCCATTCGTGTCAATACGGGCAAAAAAAGAGGTGTTTCTCCATTGTGATGGGACTTTGTAGGATGAACGTTGAGATATATAAGGGCATGGTGTGACCAATTCGGTCTGAATTTGTCTGTAATAAGGTAGGCACTGATAAGGGGTTGACAGGTATACAAATGTATTTTTTCGGGCAGTCATTGGTGCATGCGTAGTGACATTACGGACTTCACTGTGTGGTGCCGGCCCTAGAGAGGCACGGCGTGCGATGTACTCGCATCGCGGACATCACGTATGTAGCGACATCGTGGATGTCACTGCGTATTGCCGGCTCTAGCGAGGCACGGCGTGCAATGTATTGACATTGCGGACACCCGTATATGTGGGTGTAGTACCAGCCCTAGAGGGGCTCGGTGAGCGCTGATAGAGAGCGCTGAGTGGCACCACGCTCGGCGTGCAGTGCTGTCCCCTATAGGAGGGAGTGTGAGAGTGCCGGCCATGCATGGGGTTAATGTAGGCCATGGCACTCTGGTTGACCCGAGAAGGCACGTGACAGGTAAATCTACACAGGGGCTCCAAGAGGGGGTTAGGGGTGGTCACGTGTCGGGGAGAGATCCTGCTCGAGGATTCGAGAAGGTGCTCGTGGCCAAGGGCGGAGCCAGCCACGACCAGTGAGGATATAAGCCGGGTCTCCAGAGGAACCGGGGTTCAGCGTTGCTGTTGTTATCCTGAAGATCTACGTTCTACGTTCTACATCCTGAAGAGCCACCAACACGTGGACCTGGACCCAAGCTGTGGTCCGGTCCTTTGTAGCTTTCTCTCAGTGCAACTAGTGTAGTTAGCCTGGTGGTCTACCACCATAGGTTGTTATCCGGTAAAGGGGCAGTTATCCTTTTGTGTTGATATCAATAAATGTGTTGCCTCCAAAGAGTACGTCTGCGACTCAGTTGAATCCACTACACATGTATTCAGACCATCATCTCACGAATACCCAATACTGTATCATATTATTCAGCATTAAAAACAACCTTAATGAATATTATTCAGCATGTATTTATGTATATTTAACTTATTTTTCAGTGTATGTAGCCTACCGTGCTCATTGGAGGTGCGAGGGGAAGGACAAGCTAAACACAAAAAGCAGTTCTAAAGAAGTTAGTTTTCAATTTAGCATACTAAATAATAAAGTCAAAATGTATTTCCAGATCAAAATCGAATTCATTGTATCTCTTAATTAAGGCACTGGTCAAATCCACTGTAGAAATTATTACTACAATCAAGATGAACACATATTCTTGAGTCTTTCGGCAAAGTCACGTAGATAGGTTCAAAGAAAATAACAAAATAACAAAAAAACTACGACGTTTCGATCGCAACACAAGCAATAGTCATCTTTTTTCTCCTATCTACGT